TATATATATATATATATATATATATATGTATGGGATATATGCGTTTGTACATTTATATGTGGGTCTATGAAGCTCCAGTCTTTTGATTTATTGTATTCGTTTTGATCTGAGATTGGTCATTTGGTGATATGTTAATATCATATATGTCACGTATAGGGAGGAGGTGTGTGTGTATTTGTGTGTTTATATACGTATGTATCTGTTGATTTTCGTATATATAGGGATTTGTGGTTTCAGTTAGATGTTGGGTAATCTGTACGCGGAATTGGGAGTTTGCTGTTTTTGTTCTTTAAAGTTTGTCTATGACATGTGTATTGGATTCGAGTCTATCTGATTTTGATCTGTGGTACTTCTTTTGGTCATTAATGTGTCTGCCTACACTAATCTATGGTGTAGATCGATGAGGTCACTGTCTCTAACTGTACGCAGTTGCAGAGAAACTTGAGGAGAAAATAGAAACAAGAAAGAAAACTTCAATTGCTTGTTATCACTGTTCCTGATGTTTGTTATTATTAACATGCAATAGTTGGCTTACTTAGAGACAGCTTAGAAATGTTTATTACTATTCTTCTTAATGTTTTGTTTCCAACCAAATGGACGAATAGGGTGTGCCCTGGAGGCATCTTCACTGAAAATTAGTTTGCGAAACAAGGGATAACCGAAGGTGATTTTTTTTCCATAAGAGATATTGGGTGCAAATGCTACTTCTTTGGAGATTTGACATGTAAATATTTATTAGCAGTATATTCCTGCAGTTTTTGCCCCTTTTTAGAATGTGAGTTAATTTGTTTTTCTTTTTCTCTCATCAGGTTTGGTCATTGGTAAGACGATTTGATCAACCGCAAAAGTATAAGCCATTTGTCAGCAGGTGTGTGGTGCAGGGGAATCTTGAGATTGGAAGTCTCAGAGAAGTTGATGTTAAGTCTGGGCTTCCTGCCACTACTAGTACTGAAAGATTGGAACTTCTTGATGATGATGAACATATTCTTAGCATTAAAATTATCGGTGGGGATCACAGACTTAGGGTATGGAGACTCTTCCTTGTTATAATCTTGCACATAGTTCTCTTTTCCTCTTATTCAACTGCATGTGTCTGAGCAGACAATTTTACAGGTTATCTCCTTCTCAAAGTTTTAATATGAAGTTTCTGGCCCTGTCGGACTTAATCAGCTCAAACTTTTCAGGGAAAATGAGAAAGAAAAAAGGAGATTTCCAAAAACCAGGCTTCAATTTTGGTGCTGCAAAATTAAAATTAACATGTATCTTGATCATTTCATTAATCGATCTCAAAGTTCTGAAAATTGGTACCTAGCATCCAGTTATTGACATTAATCCTACTGATTCAAGTATCTTGTCCTATCCGGGAATCATCACCTTTCTCTTTATTGGGCACTTTACGGTGGTCGTACGAGTTAACTATTTTTCAGATAATCAAACGTAAATATGATTAGTTGATAAGTAATGTTATTAGCTCGATGAATGACATTTAAAAGATGTTTATGGATTTTAGTTCTGATACTTGTAATTATAGGGTTTAACTGACTTGACATGACAGTGCCCTCATTGCACATATCGAGCTTTCTTTCTGGCTGTTGATTGTTTTGTTCTGTTTTTATACAATCAGCATGAACATACTTTACCCTGTCTTTGAATTCTTATTCGGGTTTTTTTTTCCTCAGAACTACTCTTCCATCATCTCCCTCCATCCAGAGATTATTGATGGAAGACCAGGGACCGTGGTGATCGAGTCATTTGTGGTTGACGTGCCTGAAGGGAACACCAAGGATGAGACCTGCTACTTTGTGGAAGCCTTGATCCAGTGCAATCTCAAATCACTTTGTGATGTCTCAGAGCGGCTTGCAGTTCAGGACCGCACTGAGCCAATCGATCGGCTCTGAAAACTAGAACTGAGAACATATGGTGGAAGCCAGAGGCTGCCATGGATGAAGCTTCCGAGGCTTTCGTATCTCGGAGGTTTTGGAGACGGACAGGCAGTAGTACACTTCCATTTTCACATACATTTACATGCTCATGTTTCATTTTTGTTTGCCTTTTTCTTTGTCAGTCCAAAATTATATTGTTAAGTTTCCTGTGTTAAGGAGCTCAAAAACCACAGCTGTCTTAAATGTCTGTAACCCTTTCATGAATGAAAAAGTAGAGAAAAAAAGAGGGAGGGACTAGGTTAATGTGAATCCCTGGGTTTTGTTCTTGGTGATGTGAGTTTGGTTGTGTGTCCATGTGCATAGAGAGATTGTGTTTGTATATTTGCTTCTAGTTGCATTTATTCAAGTTCACTTCTCTTCTCCACCGTCTTATTTTGAATTAGCTAATACGTCTCAATTCTTATATCAACTAGACAATTTACATTAAGAATTAGAAATCCAATTATCTTCAATATGAAATCCCATATCCGAATGCAACATCAGTTTTTCTTAATATCTCACAGCTTCCGCTTCTTTGCTTTTCTTAATCTCTCCTGCTTCTCTTCTTCTTCAAGCTGGAGACGCTCTATTTCATCCTCCTTCCTAGCAATTTTTGCACTGTGAAAACAGAGCCACATTGAATTAGGGTTTGCCCTTAAACATGACAAAACATGCCTTTTGTATATATTGACATTAGCGTGGCCAAGTCTAATTTCATACATACGACATAACTTTCAAGGGAAATTTGTAAACGGCAGATAAACTTGATCAGTGACTCACCTCTTCCTCTCTTCTCGCATAATATCAGCAAAGCTGGAGACCATGGCACCGCTATCGTCGTCGTAATCATCTTCTCTGTGTTTGCGTTTAGGTCTGAAAAATCACGACCGTCATATTATGTTAGATAAATGAAATTGGCCTATTTTTTGTTGAATTGATAAAACAAATCAAAGCTCAAAGAGAGAAGAAATCTAACCCAAACATTTTGATCACAGAGGAAATGTCAAGATTGTCATCATCATAACTATCCTCCACATGGCGTTTGGTCTACATAAATTCAAAGCAAACAAAGGCAATGTATTCATTAGTTACAGAGCTTCATAACAGAGAAAATGGAAAGAAATATAATTAAGTGGACAATTAATGTTAAATGCATGTGAGCGAGCGAGGAAGAACCTGATTTTTTAAGAAAGAGCTTTTCTGTTTTGGCATCACTTTTGTATTCTCGGGCTCAACACATTGCTTTGCTGGTTTTATGTTTTGCTTTGTTGAAGATTGTGATCTTTTTAAGGAAGAGCTTTTCTGTTCTGGCTTTACTTTTGTGTTCTCGGGCTCAAGACAATGCTTTGCTTGTTTTATGTTCGGCTTTGTTGAAGATTGTGATCTTTTTAAGGAAGAGCTTTTCTGTTCTGGCTTTACTTTTGTGTTCTCGGGCTCAAGACAATGCTTTGCTTGTTTTATGTTCGGCTTTGTTGAAGATTGTGATGTTTTCAAGGCTGTTTTGCAATTGTCTGCCATCAGTTTTGCTTTCTTAGGTGGATGCAATTTCTTTGGTTGTTCCAATTTTTTCCTTGTTGCAGGCAGTGACTGAACTTTCTCTTCCAAATGTTGCCTCTTTACGGATTTCAAATTTGTTGAAGAAGCTCTGTGTATAGCAGAAACCGGATTTCTTTTATTGCTTGAATTGGAGAGAGAATTTTTCACAAGTCGAGGCTCTCCTCCCTTTGAAGTTGAAGGAATTTCTGCATTGTCCGATAGTAAGAAGGTATAATCCCGGGACTCCTTAAGGTTTTTACATCTCAAACCAGACTTTGCGTTGGTCGTGCTTAAGACAGGGCTCTTTAGCTTCTTGTTACCCTGGAAAAAAAAAATGAAAAACCACACATGAAACATGGTTTTACAGGTTTTTGCATAATATTAATGTGGCAATCAGTTTCTCTATGAAACATACCTTATCATGGGAATTTCCGACCTTAGATGCCAAATTCCTCAACTCTGGCATGAATGCTTTGCTTTCTTCAATCACTCTTTGCGCAATAACAGATTGCGATGGGCCAAAGAAAGATCCAAAACTACAGAGATAAATGCACCATACGCATAAATTTAAAAGAAAAAAAAAAGGCATCGTATTGAATCGAAATGTAGAACTAAACCTGAAACTTACTTGTCGGAAAGTAATTTGTTCTTATTAACCGAGGATTGAGGAGCATAACCCAATTCCTTCATATGATTGTTTCTGATGCGTTGTTTCAGTTGTTGCCTTAGTTGAAGAAAGTCCAATTCGTCACTGAGTGCTCCCATCTTTCCCAAACTGCTAATTAATAGTGAACTTCACTTGTTTAAAAACCACTATTTCACTTCACACACCTGCAAGCCAAATGTGAAAAGAAATGTCAGTCTGGATTGATGCAAGCTAAACGTGAACATATGAATCACTTATAAGTTGTTGCTTGATGCATTCTTCCAGGATGTCTGAAAACACAAATTTTCCTCGAATTTAATCTGTTCGATAATATATATACCAATACCAACAGATTTTATAAAGAATGGTGGAAGCACAATTAGAAGGCGAAAAATTTACACACAAGAATCAAATCAAATCATATTATACTAGCCTCCATTGTACTAAAAAGAAAAAGAAAACCATGGAGATTTCTGACTATATAGTTTTAACAGTTGAAAACCTAAGAAGAAGGCTAAAATTAAAGACACAAGTGGAGGAAACGAAAAAATCCCCCCAACCCATGTAGTAACAAAAACAAGTAAATGAAAAACAAACATACAAGAAAAGCATCAAAGAAGTAGAAAATTGATGTATCAGTTTCTTGGTCTCCAAGGTAACCAACCATTAATTTAACATAGTATTTTATACAGAAAGTAAGTTTCTTGTGAACACCAAGACAAGAACCAATACAACTAAAGATAAACGAAAAGAAGAGAGCAAATTGAAGGCCTAGATTGATCCAGAGCTTCATTAATAACTTACAGAGATGAAAGGCCGCAGAAGGGGTTGGTATATGGTATGTGTTGTTGCATGCAAACTTGAAAGCAAAGAAAGCTCCAACCCTCTATTTATACATAAGCGCCTCTGTTCTCTTTTTCTAATAGGAAATAGAAGCTAATAGCTATTTATTTATTTATTTTTTTTTTGGGTAACGGTCGGCGTTTAAGCTTAATCCTAGTGCGGACAGGAGATGGAGATCTTTGCCACGTCAGTTAAATAAAGATAAATGCCAATTCACGATTGAAAAACAAAAAGAAAGGTAAACAATTTATGAAAAAATTAATAATGAAAAGATGTCTTCCCTTCTTCTATTATGAATGGTTTACCTACCTACCTTTCAAATTTTAAATTTAATTAATTCAAATTAATTTAGACTATAACTTGTATTAAGAAAAACAAAACTCGTAGTTATTGGGTAATGGCCTAGGTAATCTTGCCCTTATTGTTCATACGTATCTTTATTAATTTCAGCCGCGTGTTCCTCCATGTGAGATAACATCAATCTAATTTTAGGACGAAAAATTCAGAACTAAAATACGTGATAAGAGACGATGCACTCTGGTGAGAAAATTTGTAAAAATATATATATTTTTTCGTTTGCAGAAAAATTGTTTTCATGAACAACCCAATTAAAACTAATAAGTTATATTATTTCAAAGTGCCATAAGTGACCGACAGTAAGCAACAGAGTCATGGGACTAAATCAAGTACTAGAAGACCATTAATTTTACAGAATCTCACTATCAAAATTTCAAGAAAATGATAAGGGGCTGCTGCTTTTACAGATGAGCAGTTCCCTCATTCAAATGCTCCTTGTATATGCAGAGGCTTGTTCCATTGAACGGTGAGATGACAACTACGACAGCGAATTCCAAAATTCAATACAAGAGGATACGTTATTGCACATGACCACGGTGATAGGGAGGCAAAGTTGCAGGCGGTGCACCACTCTGCATCATGCCAGGGCCCATTTGAGAAGGCTGAGGTAAAGTTCCAGGTGGCATGTAAGGTTGATTATGCATCTGATGGGGCACAGACTGAGGAACTGCTGGAACCGTCGGTCCCCACCCTGCAGAAGGTTGGGGCATCACAGCCTGATCGGTTGGAGCAAATTGAGCTCCATTGTACTGAGGCACTGCGGGAGCTATCATCTGAACTGGCTGTTGCCCCAGAATTGAGGGTTGTGAGTTCACAATTGGAATGTTAGGGATTGTATAGTCTCTGCTCCGATCATTGTTGATCTGTAATCAGCACAGTAAGCACAGAAAATTAGGCAGAGCTTGTCTCCCGGAATCATGGGGAAAGTTGAAGGAAAAAAGAAAACCCTAAGAGAAGTGGAATATAATATAGAAGTGCAAATGACCAATCAAGTAACTTGCCTTTATGCTGAGATCAGTATGGCGTGAATATGAGATATGAAGCTTGCAAAACCCTCCATCGTAAATGCAGTGCCCTTCCAAGGCTTCCTTGGCAACTACAGCTGTCTGAACATCTGCACGCCATAACATAATTATTACCTAAATTACTATCTAGTTGAATATATCACCGGCAGTTACTTTTACAGGAATTGTACAACACAGTACCATGCAGATATGGCACCATGTACATTGGTGAAAAACAACCTTATATTTAATCAGTAAGGCTTATGTTAGGTTTGACATCAGTACGGCTTAAAAATAGGTTTGAAATCATTGAGGCTTAGGTTTGAAATCATCAAGGCCTAAATTCGAAATCAGTAAGGCTTAAGTTCAACCATGAACGTGCCAGCTGGCTGGTTACCGATCAACCAGGTCAGACCAGCCCATACAGTCCAATTTTGAAAACCATGAAATAGAGTAATCAGAAAGGTACCTGGATACTGAATCAAAGCCTGAACCCCTCCGTTCTTATCAAACATGGCAATCTTTTGAACGGGCCCAAAAGCAGAAAAGACCTAATGGCAGGAAAAAGAAAATAAAGATCAGTTTTTAACTAAACGAGCATGGTCAACTAAGAAAACAATCAATTGAGAAAATTAATCGGATATACCATGTGTAAAACGTCCAAGGTGACAGCATACTGCATGTTTTCGATAGATGCAAGAAGCACATTACTCTCAGGTTCTAGCTTTTTCCCATCCAAGCCCACACTAATCTGCAATGATAAATCAATAAGTACAAAAACACCTCATACAAAGACAAAAACATTACTATGTTACATGAATGCCAAGGTTGGGAAGTGGCTACTCAATCAATAAGGGGGCCTTGGTACATAAATGTCTGCCTGCCAAATGAATAATCTAATAAGAGTTTTTTTTTCCCTCAATGCATTACCTGACCACTTCCATCTATGGCTGATGGAGCAACAGGCAGGTAAGGATTAGTGTAGTCCCTGAATCAGAAAAAAGTGAGAACAGTAGTCGCCAACAAAGAGACAAAGACAGTCTAAAAAGTAAAACTTAAAAAGCAGATTTTCTTATTTTCTTAATAAAAAGGTATTCATGGTTTTACTAATAACCAACAAGAGAGGAAACTTAACAAATACAAACATAGAGGGTTGCAACATAACATTAGGTATTATTCCCAAGGAAAAGAACAAAGAACATGTGATTACCTGCTTCGGTGGCTCTGAAATTTCACACTCAAATCCGTGTGTCCAGAATATGTTATCCTGAGAGTACATGGTCCCACATGGTCAGGTAGAAGATACCTATACCGAATGAAAAAAAGTTAGATGATCATTATGCAGGCGCATTGCACGCATATAAAAAAGAATACAAGCAGAAAGTGTGCCATCATCACCAAATATCATCTAACGGCCTAACTTAGCAGTATCACACAACGAGGCATTGGTTGTGAGAACTATTTTGCTTTATTTTTAAAAATTATAGTACAAGAACATGCATAGAAAGTTTAAATTTCTGTCAAAATTCTGACAGACCACTCATGCCCTAATAACCAACAGGTGCCTAGCTCCTACATATGTGAACAACTTAATCTTAGACTTGAAACCATGCCAAGCAACTAATACAACTGTCACCTGGGGATGCTTCTTGAATCCAGTGCAGTTTTTGCAGAAGTGGCAGTTTCTGCATCTGAAAATTGCACCAATGCCTGAAAAGAATAATACAAAATGAGATTGTCAAGGCCAATGGAAGCCAGTTAGAAATTCAGAACTAGATTAACTAATATAGACCTGGAATCCTGCTGTCTTCTCAAAAGTAGTTATCTTGTGCACAAACCCAAAAGCTGAAAATACCTGCATCGCTGGTAAACATTCAGAAAGATATACAGAAGCCATACATTTTACAAACTTGATAAAAAAAAACCTTTCCGATATAATCCCTCTACGAATCATTATGGGATAATAATAGACCTCCAAATTTCATTTTCCAGGTACTACGGAAACATCTAATGGAATATACTAACTAAAAATTTCGGAGCCACTAGGGAGATGCTTAGACTATCCTGCTAGAGATCAACCAGACTTGTACTGAGTTAATGTGAAATGTGTATCCCCACTCGCAGAAGACATAGGACTAGTAGAAAATTATAGAAGAAAAAAAACCCAAAAATCCTACAGAATATCCAAGACTCATAGATTCCAACCACATCCCGCTTGTTAGGACTTCTTATTTGGGTGAAATGGGTGTTCCCAAACGAAGAAAACACAGGATTATTAGAAAAACTTGGTTTCTAGCTATTAAATAGCAAGAATGATATTTGATTTTATGGAGGCACCTTAATTTTTCAACCAATGTATCTGTAAAACCATTATCCTATGTACAAAATATAATTACTGAGGAATCCTATATGGATAACCATGGGGTCATATAATTCCAGTTTTTAGTTTAAAGGAATAAGAGCCGTTCATTAATCTTCTAATTGCCATCATTAATCCATGTATCCACTTTTCTATAAAGACTTAAAAGTATCCATGCCGGATAGACTTACACTCAGAGAGCAATTAAACACTTGAGACGTGGTATAACATAAAAGTGTGAGACAATCATGCTGATGAAACAAAGCAACAGAAAATAAATAAAAAAGGGATGGAAGGATGCACAAGAGAAGAAATGAAAACATTCTAAACTATTAGAGTGGTAGGATCAGGATCAGGATCATGAGGAGGAAGATTAGGGAAGAAAGAGGCAGTGTTAAGAAAGGAGAAAGGAGACAAACACACATGTGCTCTTTCTCCCGATGCACTAAGCTGCCATTGAAGATTTTCTCTTGAAATGGGCCTGCTGATCCATTCACATTTATGTCAAACAAAAACATCCCAGAACAAGACAAATTACAACCCAAACACAATACCTTAACGCAAACATATTTATACTGACAAGTTTACCTCTTTAACTATAACAGGGAAGCAGGCACATTGCTTACCAGGTGTAAAACATCTATGCTGACAAGGCGGGCATCATCACCTTCAATTGTTACCAACAGTACATTTCCAGCAACATCCGCAGCAGTTTTGTTGTTGACTATTTCTTGCCTATTGGAGTACTGTAGGTAAACAGTTTTCCCCCTTACTTGAGCAGGTTCTGAAGATGAGGCATAATATGATATCATCGCAATAGCTTGATTTAAATCTGCCTAAAAACATTCATGTAACAAGCATTGAAGGAAAATGTCTATCAGTAAAATATATGACAAATGTGCAAAATGAACCCCGAAAAAAAAAACTGAAATGACACTCACAAATTCAATAAAAGCTTGATTACGGTTTGCTCCAACATTGCACTTTGTGTTCACAACTTTACCAAATGGCTTTCCCAGTTCAATCAGTTCTTCCTCTGTGCACTCCCACGGCAAGTTCCTCAAATGAAGAACCTTCGATGGCGGCTGGGTATAACGGAACTGTGGCTGACTGGACACAGAAGCCATTCTGCAAACCAACACTTCACCTACAAAACAACACCATACAAATATTCAGACCCTCAATCTACCACACTTTCACAAGATCACAAACTCAATATATCTTCATCTTGATTACACACAACGAAAAACTACACTTCATGCCCATATTATATTTTACGACATAAA